TGTCCAGGACAAACTTGGGAGAGGATGATGAGCCCGTGGCGGTGGTGAGACCCCCTCCCGCGGCTATCTTCTCCAACATCATGATGACCTCTTTGGATGGGAGCTGAGCCTTGCGCTGAGGCTTGATGTTGGTTTCCACCAGGCCTTCCTGGATGGTTTTCCTCTTCGCCTTGAGGCGTTCCAGGCTGTCCGGGTCGAGGAGGCCAAACCTGGCCGAGAACCATCGTAGGGTATTCCATATCCCTTGGAGTTTGTGTGGTGTGATCTCCTGGTCCCTCAGGGTGTTCAGAAGAGATCTAATATCGCTTTCTTTCCAAGGAATTGTGTTGAAGCCCAATTTCTGGATGCTCTCGAAGCAAAGGCAATGAATACGCAAGGTCCTGAACCTGGTGTCTCCCAGGAGGTCCAAGTACTCTTGGTGAACATTGTCCCCATGGACCGCATGCAGGTAAGGGATGTCTTTGGCAAAGGGCAGAAGGAGCCCAATGATCCTTTCTGCCCAGCGGTCTCTGAGGTGGAGTTCTAGCTTCCTTTGGGTTGTAGCCGACTCTTCCTTGAGTCGTCCAGGCTTCCAGTGCCTCCATTTGGCCTCCACAATGGCCATTATGGGAGGCCGTGCATGAAAGGCTCGCCATCTAGCCCGGTCCATGCTTTCCTGTTGCTGCTGAAGGGGTGTGTGGAAGGCTGAATCTGGTGCACCCGCAATCAAAGTGAAGAGGCTAAAACATGCATCATAGGTCCTATCTCTCTCCCCTGGGGGCGCTGGTTGTGGCACCCGGTTCATGCAGTCTGCCACAAAGTCTTCCATCCAGGGCGTGGTAGCCACCATCATGGAGTTACTGTGAGCCACGTTCATTGGGTCGATGTCATTGCTGGGGTGTACCCGAGAGGTCCAGGTTCCCCCATCCATGGCCTCCGGATGGTCCGGTGGCACTTGTTGCATGCAGAGCTGCATGAACAACTCCCCCTCCGTTTGTGTGGGGAAAATGCCATGGTCCAGCAGGCTGTCTCGCATGTGTTCAGGAAGACGAACCATTGCCAGGCCAAAAGGTGTTCTACGCACAAGATCGGGTTCCATGATGTCCCGACTCTACTATGGCCAAGCCTGGCCCAAAAAAAGGGCACTGCGGGTGTGCGGAGCACTAACACGTGAAAAGAGCAAGCTGGAAAACAAACACAGAAAGCCCAGGAGAAACCATCAGAGTTGCAACTGGACCAGAACTGAGTGCAAGCCACATGGACATCAGTCACATCAGCGTAATGGGCGAAGCCCGAAAGGATACCAATAACATCAAACCAAGGAAAAACCCAGTAATGTTCAAATAGCAACATGCTGTAAATGACTCTGAGGCAGCCACATGCAGGTTTCCCTTTTCACTGTGTGAGCTGGCATCCCAGCGGTCTGGCCCCTGTCTTGGCCCTTGTCGTGGTGCGCAACCAATGCTATTCATACAAAAAGGAAGGTGTCTGCAGAACCGAGTGGTGACGTTGGTGCAAGACGCTACCAGGCCACCAGTTCAGTAAAACAGCCCTTCGCAAAAACTCCGCTCTCAGGCAGGCCGGACTCTGCTCGCTGCCAGCGCGTTGATCTTCTGAAGGCCCTCGAGGTCCGGGTTGCTCAGAAGGACCGACCGGAAACATTGGCATTGCCATTCTGGCAGGAAAACTTCAAGCGTTGGGTGTGGTCAGGGTCCACATGCAATGCCACATCTCGCGGGGCCGCAGTCGGCTCCACTCTCTTGTAATACTCAAGCCTGGACTTCACCCAGCTGTTGTACAGCTGTTGAGGTGGCTCGTCCAAAATCAGTTGGAGGTTGACTTTGGCTCCCCGGTGCTCTCCAAGCAATTGGACAAAGCGGGAAGCTCCTTTCCCTTGTCTCCAAAAGCCCTGGCAGGCCTTGCAGACCCAGCCTCCACGAGTCACTCCAGCCTCTTTCGTCTTCAGTTCCCAGGGACTGATACTGCTGAGGATGAGCCCGCAATCAGTGCGGCCCCAAAAGGCATGGACTCCACGGTGGCCATAGTGCTCCCGCTTGTACTTGGGGCTGCATATGGAGACCACATTTTCCAAGGAGAGCTCGGGGTACTTACCGGTGCCCGAAGCTACCGTAGTCGCCCGCAGAGCCTCCGGCTCCAGTGCAGTCTTCAGGAAGCCATCAATCTCTGCCTGGGAGTAGCCCAGACGGCAATAGAAGCTCTCCGCCTTCTCATGGGGAACCAGGGCAACCCACCATAGCTCACAGTTGCACCGCCAGGCAACTTGCACTTGCACCATGCTGAGGGCCCCCAGAGTGGCTGACAGCGCCTGGAAAACGTCCGGGAGCTGCCTGAAAGCATCCAAAGGCAAGGTGATGCGCTCATCACACACCGCTCGAAAACGGAGCTGCTCCTTTGTGTCCTGGATGTCCTGCTCGGGCAAGTCCAAGACCACCGCTGGGGTTCTGGCTAAGAAAACCGAAGCAGCCAAAAAGCTGCCAATTTCCTTGTAGAGCAGCTTGATCTCATGTTGTGATTGGGGAAACCGGAGGCCCACACTGGTGAGGAAGGACTTGATCTCAGAAGTCCTCTGCCGGTGTGCCGCCAACTCTGCCACCTTCTTCTGGCGGATGCCTTCCCCATGCCCTCTGCGCATCGGTTTGATGATCAGCGGCATGCCGCACCAAGCCTGGTAGATCTCCTTGAACGTCCAGGACTGTCCAAGCATCGTGATCATGGAGGGAAGGTCCCATGATTGCACCCTTCGAACCAGGTGGGTATCGTCGGTGCCAGAAGCTACCGCCGTCCCCGGGGCCCAAAAGAAGCCAATGATCTTGTCCAGGTCGGGTCGCTTGCCATCGGCAATCTGCTGCAGGACCACCTGTTCTGTGTAGGTTTTGGGCGTGTAGAAGGAGGTGCTCAGCGGGTTTGTCCTGAGCTCCAAAGCCAAGACCTCAGTCGTAGGTGCCGGTTTCGCCCAGGCGGGTGCCGTGAGCGGGCCCTGTCGCAGTTCCCACTCTCCGCCCCAGGCTCTGACTTCACCTTTGTGGTACTGCAAGATGGAGTCAAGGATTGCGTACTTGCGTTCAAGGCTGTCAGGCGGGAGGAGTCTTGCTAACTGGGCCTCTTGGGAAGATATCATCTCCGTCCCCGTGGTGTACATGTCGAGTTGAGTTTTAGGGAACTCCGTCATGAGGCGGTCCTGGGAGAGTGGAGGCTTGTTATCCTTGATGAGCTCCTTCATGCGAAGGTAGGGTTGCTTGAGTGCCTCCATGTCAAATTGTTCAGGTCCCTGCGGTCCCATGGCCGGCGCGAAGATATTGTTCTGCCACGCCTCTTGCAGAGCTGGGGTCCAAAGTGAGAAGGACGCCACTTCGATGGGCTTGAGGGCCTTGCGGCGGTCTCTGAACTCCGTGTCCAGGGCCTTGTTGGCAGCCGCCGCTTTGTCCTGTGTGGTCTGTGCTGCCACCAAAGCCTCATAAGAGGAAGTGAGACCACTTTCTTCATGTTTTCGTTTGAGGTAGGACCGAAACTGCTGGAGGTCAGCGTGGCGAAGCATCTTGGCACTGACCGGATTCTGGGTTTCCTGTGCACCCTGCTGGATGGCAGTCAGTGTATGCAGCTCATCGTCCATCGCCACAGTCTCTTGCTGATGCTGAATCTCCTTCTTCCTCCTCTTGGCCTCCTGTGCCGCTTCTGTGAGCTCTTCTTCTGGTGTTGCCAGCAAGTCAACTTTGAAGCGCATCAGTTCAATGGTCTTCGGATGAAAGATCACCGCAGTTTGAGTAGAGTCTCGATCATCCAAAGTGGGGGGGCGTTCGCCATCTGGATGAAAGATCTCGTCCTGCCCGAAGGCCACCACGTGCTGCTGCAGTGTCATGCGCTGGGAGGCAGGAACTTGCTCCGAAAAGCTGACCAACCCCATACCGGCGCCCGAAGCTGCCGCAGGGGGAGGTCGGCCAAGATCGCCCACTTCCACAAAGCCTGAGGCCTTAGTAACCTTAGTATCTGTGGGGACCCAAGTCGGTCCCGCCTCAGTAAGCCTAAGTTGCCAGGACTGGCCGGCCACCTCAATCACTGACAAAGGTGTCATTGACAGGTCAACAGGCTGAGAGCCTTGACAAAGCAAACATTTGGATAACTGCCCCCACGGTGCATTGCAATCAGAACAAACTAATTGCGGAGAAGTTCCAGGGTCCTTCTCTTTCAAATTCACCATGGATCCCCCACGCTGCGTGGTGTGCCGGAGTTTCAACATCTGTGTGTGGACAGCCTCGCGCTTCGAGATGTGGTACACCTCTGCGATCTTGACCACCAAGGATGCCGTCCACGGAGAACTGCGGAAAGCGTCCAAAAGGGAACGCAACTCACCATGCGTAATGTCTCTGAAGTACTTGGCAGCAGAGTGAGGCAGGGCCGGAATCAAGGGTGCCCAGCCTTCGATGGTGAAGGTCTCTGTGGTCGGATCCATGTGGAGCGTCAACGTCTCCTTCTCTAAGACCTGTAGTGTCTGGGTCGGAGTCTGTGCCTCTGCATGGACGAAACCCGACGGAGGTTTCCCACTTGACGCTTCCACACTTGTCTCCGGCTTGGGTTCCAGGCCCAAGTTTTCCATCACTTTCTCCATCTCATGGAGCTGCGAAGCCAGTGTCTCCTTGGTGATGGCGGGATCATCTTCGAACTCTGTCGTAACCTCGGCCGGCGCAGCCTCGGTCACCTGGGTGGAAAGCACCATGTAATCGTCCCCTGCGTCCAAATCTGTCCCAATCAGCGAGAAGGAGCCCACGGTGCCAGTCTCACTAGCCACTGGACTAGAAGCCGCCATGGGCAAAACAAGAAGATCGGAACGTGTTTTTCGAAAGTATTGGATCGCAGGGGGAACAGCTTGAGCCAAAATGGCATAGCCATTTTGGCAACTATATCGTCAACACATTACTTGCTCTCCACAAGTTCCAAGCAAAGAAACAAATATACAGTCAGAAACAAGAATGCGCTTTTTTACTCAATGCAAACATTGACGGAACCTGGCACGTCAGCATCAAAGTGCCCGTCTCCAAAAAGCAAAGCTCCTCCGATCTTGCCACGCTTAGTCCAGCTGGTGGCAATGAGAGAATCTCAACCAACTCTTACTGCATGCGTTTATGGATTCGGATTCATAGGTTTGTCTGAAATATCATTCCCATCATTGCAACATGGTCGGGGGAGTAATCTTTTGAGCCTCAAGTCGGAACCTCACGTTTAATAGTGATTTCGATATGCATCAATAGTGTGTTGCGCTTTCATGACTCTTGGGCAAATGAGTCTGGGTACCCATTCGATGCAAACAATACACATCAGTTTCTGGTCGAATCTGTTCCCTTCTTATTTATCTTTAATATGACTTGTTCGGCTGTCCTGCGGAGAATCGTTCTCACAAAAGAGCATCTCTGATGGCTGCAACATCGTGACCTGATGTACTCCAAAATGAATTCTTCCTCCACAATTCCAGAGATGAAGCCGTCAAAGGATGTGAAAGGTACCAGTCCATTGTCATCAATTGAAAGCATTGTTAGGCCAAGCTGCCTCTAGATGGTCAATAATCTGCAGCATGAAGTCAGAGGTAACTCCGTGGAAAAATGTTTCATTTGCTTGGATGATCGGGAGGTAGATCTGCACAGGGGCCGACATATCGGGGCGTGCGGAAAACAGATTTGTGAAGGCCAGACTAAAACCTCTTTTATATAATTTTATATAATTATATTATATATATGTGTGTGTAGTGTGTGTGTGTGCATATATTAAAACATAGGTGTCGTACAATATGCAATCACATACGCTCCCATAGAACTATGATGGTGTCAGACCTATATGCAATCTCATTCTTCTATTCTGTGCAAAGCTGTCTTTTGTTGCTCAGCCTGCTCTTTGACCTTCTTCTGTAAGTCCGGCGCGAAGGTTTTCAGAACCACATCGCGATTTCCCACATCACGTGATTTTGACCACTGAAACAGGCAATGCTGTCCTTGATTGCACTTGGACCGTACTTGGACATCTTGGATGTCTCATCTTGAGTTGTTGAGGCATGTCGAAGTGTGGATGTTCCATCAAAAGGCATGCTCAGAGCCCTATTGCCAACCTTTACCGCCCGCCCGACAACCCCGCAGTGCATGGGATGAACATCTCCCGAATAAGATTTCCCAACAAGATTATTGACATCGCGATCTATCAGATGTGACTAATACATACTCATACCATCTCATACCCAGAAATGCCATGCCAAATGCATATTCCCATTCCATCCATTCAAATTGATTGAGTGGGCCACTGCAAAGTACAGTCAAGAGTCTGATTGACTTTCGGATGCTTGGGGGCAAATCCAGCGTTGCGCCTTAGAAATTTTGAGAAATCATGGGCCGACCTTTCTGTACGCACAGCAACCTTGACGATTTCATGGGGCATAGATCAGACTAACTAATTGACTACCAGATCCTGAGCAACTACCCGCATAATCAAACGTGTGATGTTTGCAACAAGCCGCATACGATGTCTGCTTGGTTCAGAAGCTGCTCCACTTCTCGTGCCGATTCCTTCTTTGCTTCCTGCAGCTTGAAGAAGGAACCAATGACGTAGGACTTCCTTAGCAGCCCCAGTGCTTGAGCATCATGGCAAACATTGCCAAACCTTGGCAAGAGTTTCAACATGTTTGAACCTTTGGTCTATTGAAACGTAGCCAAGTAGTGCCAAATCTTCACGCCCAAGGATCATGGCTAAGAGGCCACAGACGACAAATAGCTGCACAATCAGTTCCTCCAAGCGCTCCGGCTTTGCGCCTTCATAGTTCCTTAGCTTGTGAGCTTAGGGCTAAACAAATAATTTGTGGCTGTGGACACCGAGTCAACTTTTCCAAAGAGGGACCAAGCCGAGAGTCTTGTTGAAGGCACGGTAGTAAGAGATCTTGGCCGCAGGATTCCAATGGACTCTGCAGGCTTTCTGATCAATCTTTCAAAGCTACACATCCCATATCTCATATCACCACACGCTGCAAGAACATGACAGGCAAAGATCTCTGAGCAGGATAGAGGCCAAGCAACCAGGTAGTCTCCCCACCAATCCTCGTCGCCATATTGCGGCACAAATGATTTTTCTCGGAACTGATCGAACATACTGTCCTGTGGGGCACACACGACATCGACAAACACTTCAGAGACTTCAGTGCAAATTTCTGGGAACTGATCTGTCAGTTGTTTGCGCAGCTGTTTGCGCATGTTTGCGCTGCTGTCGCAGCCCATGCTCCTCGGTACCACTCTCTGGTGTTGGCCTAGCCAGTGCCACCAACAGGTGGAGACATCCGATCCAATGACCCCAGCCAACCATGATCACCTTGGTCGCTTTCTGTGCCGCCCCAAGGAAATCACCCAAATCGTATGTCATGTGGAGCTTCAAAAAAGGTCCTTCAACACATTGCATGCCAAAACCAGGGTGAGAAAGGCCACCTTTTCTTGAGAAATAACCTGTACCACTATGACCCAACATCCATCAACAATACACGACCATAACAGTATAACATAATTGTAACATACCGTAGGTATGTAAAATAATCATCAAATGGTACTTCCAAGTTGCTGCCAACTTCATCGTGACCCACATAGATCCACCACTGCCACTGAGGCGAATGTTCACGAAGAGCTGGGTCTCTTGCTCCACAAAAAAACCTGGACTATCGGCAAATGAAATTGCTTAAATTCAATACAATCCCAACAAAACACACCATGATGCCATCAGGATCCGTCAGGGTCAACTGTCTCTTGAATCAGTGTTGTCATCAGGTTCTGCAAGCAAGTGGCGCTTCAAGTATGTCAGAGGCAGCTTCTGCCGCATCAGCTTGCCTTAGCAAACATGCACAACGTAGAGTAAATGTCCAAAGGAGTCCAAACTTCGAAACAGGCCTTCTGCCACATTTCATGTTGTTTTATTGCATCAAAATCTGTGGCGTAGCCAATCAGCCTGATTGCGGAAAAGAACGATTCACAGGTGCGCTGTGTTTCAATATGTTTCAATTAGTGAGTGGACCGGCATTGCGCATTGCAAACGAAATCTTTGCACTTTTCAGCTCAGGTCCCACCCATTTGGACAAGCTGGCCGGGGCACAAATCAAAAACAAGATCCAAAAAAAATTCTGAGCAAGGTTCTCCTGCAGAGCACGACATGTCAGAAGCACCAGGACTAGGCATCCCCCCATCCATACCAAAAACGGGGGCAAAATGTGTGAACTGCATCCAACACATCAGAATGAACATTTTGCAAAATAACCGACTTCTTCCTCAAGCCCTGGCAAGGGCAAACCACAACTCTGTTTGCAAAAGTGCCCTTGGAAATTGACCAATCTGAAACGGGCCGGCCCTCAAGCAGCTATGTGATCAAACAAAAGTAAACCCTGATTCACACGTCTTGAACAATAAGCAAGAGGACCCTCCTAATTGCCAACGCAACACCCAAAACAAGCGTCAGTACAACACATCCAACGCATTGGGGAGCCTTCTGTTCTCCGGCTGCATTGGTTTTGGCATGCAGAATGCCTTCTGCAAAATTACCTCAGCAACGTTGGCTTTCTGACCATGTGATAAAGGATGCTTCGCCAGCCAAGGTGCCAAGGACCAGAAGTACAATGGCAAAGCCCGCTTGAAACCATATGTCCCGAGAGCGATGGACGCCACCTTTGTTCCAGGGAGCCATAGGGAACCCCGCTCAGACCATGCGGGCATTTGCGGTATATAGGGTGTTTTGGTTATGTACATGCGAATGTCAATCCTCTGAACTGGAGTTTTTTTGCTGAATCGAACCAGCCCAGTTACTTTCCATGAAGAGCAAAATCGGCCGAGAAAGTGTCTTTATACCCTTCCTGCAACCAGTCGCAAGGTGCACTTCATTGCACTTCCCTCTCATTGGTGCAGCTCAGTAAGGCGTGGCAAGAGACAACCAACGACAACTATCCAAACATGCCTAAAGTGAGAACACAGGCGCTATCCAAAAAAAACAGATTCCAGGGTTTACTTAAGCGTTGCCAAACTTTCTGAAGGTTTATGCACAAAACAGACTCACTGATATATCATGCCGCTCCGGGCCGCTCCTCATCATATCCCACTTGCCATAGCCATGCTTTCTGTTTGCAGCAGCCAGCTTGGCCTTGACAATAAAAAGTACAGTTGAGACTTTACAAAGTGCAAAGGCCACGGCTACTATGAGCTACAATCACACAGACTGACTAACACAGGCCAACACAGACTACATCTATATCTGCATCTGCATATCTATATCATTCTACATCTATACATGCTTAGATACAAGACACAATACACACACACACATATATATATATACATACATATAATTATATACATAGATAGAATAGATAGAATAGAATAGACTTAGAATTAGAATTTGAATTAGACTACGTAGAATAGAATAGAATAAAATAGATAGATCCAGGATAGATCGATCGATCGATGGATAGACAGACAGACAGACAGACAGACAGACAGACAGATCAGACAGATAGATATCTAATCTACAGTAATCTGTACATGCTTACATGTGCATGTCCACCGTTTGGAAGCGTTCTTTCTGTCACATGCTGAGCCTTGAAGAACTCCAAAAGCATGTTGCGATCGGCCGGTGAGCTTTCTAGGAACCTGTGCGCAGCCCAAGCGACATGTCGGCGCGCGTGGCACAGGTCAGCCAATGTCAGCAGTCCTGCCTCTTCATCTCTCGCTCTGAGACTTCAAAAATGGCACACTCGCTGATGCACTCCACATGGCTGCTGTCGGCTCTCACCATATCAAACACCTGCCGCACCAAATTCTGCGATGTGCTGAGTTGAAATCGGAGTCGGCTGTCGTAGCATCACTAGATATCACTAGCCATTGGCCGCATTGGCTGTAGCCGCTGTAGCCATCTTCAGTGCCTTGAACTCTCCAAGCGTGCCACCCGCACCTTGGGGCTTGGATATGCATCGTTGGAACTGGGGCACAGTAAGCACTTGATGAAAACATAGCCCGCATAGATCTGCATAACCAAAGAGGTTAATTAAAAAGAATGAGTGCCAAACCCACGTAGCTCACTTGATCACCTGCAGGAGTGAGTAGAATCTCCCATGTCACCAGCTCTTGCGATGAAAGCTGACCACGATCGCTGCCCTCAATTGGCCTTCCATTGTGACTTTGAACCTGACTAATTACCGCTGAAGAGGGCTCTGTGGCTCACACCATCTCGGATGACAACTTCTCCCTGCAATATCAGGTAGAGGCTGGTGTTGTCATCCTGCTCCCCATATAAGACCTAAGTGTCCGAACATACAAAAGGCAGCAAGGGGCAGCCTGCAACATTTGCTGATGGACGTTTCGACATCCACCTCCCTGAGGGCATTGCCTCTCCCTTCTGCTTGGTTAGGACTTCGCCAACATCTGCGATTTTTGACCTAAGGATCTGGTGCTTGGATGTGCTTCGTGGTTCTTGGTGGTGCCTGGCCATGCGGATGTACATCGGTGATCTTCAAATCACCGCTGGTGAGTCTGGATTTACGGGACTGCTGGTCTTGGCCCCTGACAAAAACTCTGTGCTACAAGCGGAAAAGCCAGGCAGCTTCTGAAACATTGACCTGAGGTTTCACTTGCCCATAGTGCCGCAAAAAACAAACAAACAAGTGCGCTTTATGGCTGTATAGCATGTGGCTTTGTAAATCTCCGAATATCAAAACCCGCGCTGCAGAAGACACAATGATGAATCTTTGCATCAGAAAAGACCCAATGTTCAACTTCGTTCCGCGGTGGTAAACAGCACATGATCAGGGAATGAATCCTGTAGTCATTCCTCTTGCTGGCAAAGTGGCTTGGCTTTTTGCTGCATCTGTTCCCTCCAATCTACCTGTGAGAGAAAACCCACCCACAAACACTTACTTGATAATCCATATAAAACATCATCAAAACAATCCTGTCAGAATCCTGCAGTGACAAAACGTACACCCTTGAACCATCTTGAGCCGGGTGTACATCTGGAAGAATCTGTAAGATTCGTACTTTGCGCATGACAATGACGCTGCTTTCGTTCCCATCCTGTGCTTCAGGACCTGACAATTGACGACAGCACAATACGGCATACACAGCTCAACAGCGAGTCGATCCATGGCCTCTAAACTGATCGAGGGCTTGGAGCATCGCATCAACAAGAAACCATGCCTACAGGAGGACGAGTCAGACTAGGCTTAGAGGAGTCAGCATGTCATCAATGAGCGGAAATCAGAGAAAAAAGCTTGGGGGAAACCGGGAAAGACAAAGACACGAACGGATCAGCCCTTGATGCTGGCAAGCGACATTCACCCAATGGTCAGCTGTGAGCAAAACCCCCAAGAAGGTCAACCTGAAAAATGACAGTCATGCCAAAGCTAGAAACAAAAAAAGGGGCCCACGCCAGAGACAACATCGCACTCGGGAAAATCTGAAGCTTGCAAGCTGTGATGGGAAGTGAGCGATCCATAACGATCACATTGCTCACAAGTGTATGTCTGGATGTGATGGATGGACAAAGGAGGCACTGAGGGATGCATGGGTACATGGGCAGGTGGCTGAATAGATGAAACACGGTCTGTACATGAGTGTTTGTTTGATTGTGACTTGAGCATAAGCAATGAGTGCCAGCCTCTGCGTCTGGCCTGTGTCATCTCACGTTGGTTTTGGTTTACTGTCTCGTGCTGCCTGTCCTGTCTTGCGACACATCTTGTGTCATGTTTTGTGTTTCAATCTTGGATACGGTGCTGATGGGTTTTCGCTATAGCCGCTATATACATTCTGGGCATTGTGTATTCCCGGCATCCTCTTGGCGTCGTCTGTGCCTGTCTTGAAGGCATGAGACCTGCAATGATGGCACTTGAAGAAAACCCCACGTTGCAAAAGCCAAGGCGCTTCTTGGAATCCATGGTGAAGGCCCAAAAAAGGGCACATGTCCAAAGCTCAAAGAGACTCACCGCCAGATTTCCCAAAAGCCTGGCATCATCCAACGATTCTCAAGACTTTAAGCAGCCCGCATGCCTTTTCACATGCATCTGTTCGCTGCTCACTGTACTCTGAAAGAGGCTTTACCAGCACATCATTACATTTTGCTTGCTTCTCGCCATCTTCAGAGATAAGCGACCACAGTTGTCTCGTTTTTGGTGAGGAAATGCAGCAACTCCCTAAATATGTGACCTCGGTTGCAACCAATCTGGATCGAACTCGCAAAAAGAATGCTGAGCCTAGGAAGAAATAGTGAAGGGGCCCAGGGTGCAGGGCCAAAATCATCGCAGGTTGCGAGCCAAGCCACTGATCGCACTGGGAGCATGATCAGCCAAACAATGGTCTGACTTCCTTACAGCAAAGTCTTGCAAACACCAAACTAATCCAAGTTGCATGGATATTGCATTGCTACATCGCATGGATGATCCAGAAATAACGTTGTGGCAGAACTGTCGGACAATCTTTGGCACAACTGTCACCAATTCTTCACCAAGGGTTCATTGATAGCTAACCTACAACATCTATGATTTCATTACCTGAGTCGGTGGAAAAAGTGAATTTGCGCAGTCGTGCCACTGCGTTGCATTCGCAACTCTTTTTCGTGAGTTTTGGCCTCTTGAAGGCGCAAGGCCTGCTGCCGTTGAGCGCAAAATAACAGTTGTGTCTGGTGTTGCGCGTTATTTCAAATTGTCAATGAATGTATGTATATATGTACACAGATATAAATGTCAATGAACCCTTTGAACCTTTTTTTCTGCAACTAAATTGGTGTGTGCAAGAGAAGGCTCTGAGTTGACTCTATTGCAGCCCACAGGAAACACAGAATAAGTGAACGACTATGATACGACTATGGACGACTGCACTAGCGAAGCAACTCCAGCCTCACGCTGCGCACGTTGTTCTTCTTGATCATCCACGATCCTGGGAGCAAAACACCACATACAAACTACTTAGATCTACTCAGCAGCTGAAACGATCTAAGACGAGGTTCCCTCTTGTCACATTGGCGCAGTTGCATCCAAGTTGCTTCACTTTGGGGTTTCGATTTCTGCCTGAGGGCGACCAATCCTTAGCTGGGCAGAGCTGACTGGACAGGTTGCAGGGCCACAACAATCAACAGCGTAGATGTTTGGATATATGTAATTACATGTGTACATACATAGATTGCAGTTACATAGCACGAAGCTGTTGTTGCGCTGGCTCACCAACCGCCCACCCCGACATGCCGGGAACTTGCGTTTTATGAATCTTGCATACCAGTAGTACCGCACAAGACTGTGGCGGAAGTTTCAAAAATAGGAAACCTATAGGAGAGGTTGGTTGATGTGAATCACGGATGGCAGAGCGAATCCACTGATGGACCGACAGGTGGTTGGAGTTGTGTTTTTGAAATGGTTGCAATGGTTGCAGTGGTTGCAGTGTTATGAGAATCTTACAGCCACAGACTGAGTCCGGACCAAGGAATTATTTTTTCATTTTTTTTTCATTTTGTTTTTCATTTTTTTTTCCTGTTTCATATCATTCTCCGATCATGTGAAATTTTCATTTTCATTTTTTTTTCATTCCCCAATTATGCGGAAATGTCATTCTCATTTGTTTACCGTGTTTCCCTCATGTGCAGTTAGTAGTATCATGTGCATACTTGTTCCTTCTAAATTAGTAGATACACAAAGAAAAACATCGAAGTCGAAAACGCAAAAGCTCCGGCCACAACCACAATTCTTATGGGGTCGTAATTCACGACTGTTACAAGTACGCATCAGGTTAACTCTTATTGTCGTACTAACTCTATTTACAGCAGAATTTTGGAATTTGAAACGCAAGTTGATGATCATGTAGCAAGAGACAAGGAAAAGTCAAGCATGTGATCACAACAACCTTTGCGAGTATAACACGCAGACAAAACCACTTAGCTCTTCACGATTCGAAGAGCTGAATGGAACAGAAAGGAAGCCGCAAAGCCCAGCTGAGAAACAACAAAACATGAGATGGTTCGCCGCAGCTTTCCAAGGAGCGTGGTCCTTCAGCATCGAAAATGAATCGAAGCAACATCAGAAACATAAAGTTTTTGATTAAGTCAGAAATACCTAAAACTGCGCGAAAAATGAAAACAAACGCGAAAAAATAGATTTAAAAATGTAATGAAAAGGAAAACGAAAAAAAAATGAAAATGAAAAATGAAATGAAAACGAGGACGAAAAAAAATGAAAATGAAAAACGAAATGAAAAAGGAAACAAAAAAAAACGAAAATGAAAAATGAAATGAAAAAAAAACGAAAAAAAAACGAAAAAAAAATGAAAATGAAAAAGGAAATGAAAAAAAACGAAAAAAAATGAAAAAAAAATGAAAAAAAAACGAAAAAAAATGAAAAAAAAATGAAAAGGGTTCGAGAAAAAGCTCCTTTTGGCAATTTCCGAGGTCGAAGGAAGGAAAAAATGCCAAAACAAAAAAAAAATGAAAAAAACATGAAAAAAAAATGAAAAGGGTTCGAGAAAAAGCTGCTTTTGGCAATTTCCGAGGTCGAAGGAAGGAAAAAATGCCAAAACGAAAAAAAAATGAAAAAAAAATGAAAAAAAAAATGAAAAAAAATGAAAAGGGTTCGAGAAAAAGCTGCTTTTGGCAATTTCCGAGGTCGAAGGAAGGAAAAAATGCCAAAACGAAAAAAAAATGAAAAAAAAATGAAAAGGGTTCGAGAAAAAACTCCTTTTGGCAATTCCCTAGGTCAATTTTAAAGGCGAAGGAAGGAAAAAATGCCAAAACGAAAAAAAATGAAAAAAATGAAAAGGGTTCGAGAAAAAGCTCCTTTTGGCAATTCCCTAGGTCAATTTTAAAGGCAAAAGGAAGGAAAAAATACCAAAACGAAGAAAAAACGAAAAAACATGAAAAAAATGAAAAAAAATGAAAAGGGTTCGAGAAAAAGCTCCTTTTGGCAATTCCCGAGGTCAATTTTAAAGGCGAAGGAAGGAAAAAAATGCCAAAACGAAGAAAAAACAAAAAAACAATGAAAAAAAATGAAAAGGGTTCGAGAAAAAGCTCCTTTGGCAATTCCCCAGATCAGTTTTAAAGGCAAAGAAAGGAAAAAATTACCAAAACGAAAAAAAAACGAAAAGGGTTCGAGAAAAAGCTCCTTTTGGCAATTCCCCAAGTCAGTTTTAAAGGCACAGAAAAGAAAAATTGCCAACATGAGAAAAAAACGAAAAGGGTTCGAGAAAAAGCTCCTTTTGGCAATTCCTCAGGTCAATTTTAAAGGCATAGGAAAGAAAAATAGCTAAAGCGCAAAAGCAATCGAAAAAACAGACGAAAAGGGTTCGAGAAAAAGCCTCTGGTGGCAATTCCCAAGGACCAAGGACCATTTTCGAAGCAAAGGAAAGAAAAATGAAAATGCCAAAGGGAGGAAAAACAGGAATGAAAAAATAATGAAAAAACTTAACGGGGATAAAAAGGAAATGATAATTTTCAAGCCAAAAAAATGATGATCAAAATGAAAAAAAATGAAAAAATAAAAAAAACATGATTTCCAGTCCCTGGCTGGCTGAGATGAACATAATTGCAGTGGTCACCTTACCAGAACTGCTGGATGCAGTGTGGTGTAGCGCAGTTGCAGTTGTAGTTGTAGCTGTAGTTGTAGCGTAGTGTAGTGGAACTGCAGCTGTAATGCAGTGTAATTAGTGCAGTCTAGGGTAGTGTAGCGTAGCGTAGCATAGTGTAGTGTAGTGTAGTGTAGCGTAGTGTAGTGTAGCGTAGCGTAGCGCAGTGCAGTGTAATTAGTGTAGTGTAGTGTAGCGTAGCGTAGCGTAGCATAGTGTAGTCTAGTCTAGTCTAGCCTAGTCTGGTCTGGTCTGGTCTAGTCTAGTCTAGTGTAGTGTAGTGTAGCGTAGCGTAGTGTAGTGTTGTGGTGTGGTGTAGTGTAGTGTAGCGTAGTGTAGGGTAGTGTAGTCTAGTCTAGTCTAGTCTAGTGTAGTGTAGTGTAGAAAAGGCATTACACTCACTTGCGCACCTGGAAATTCACTCACTTACGCACCTGGGAAATTCACTCACTTACGCACCTGGAAATCAGTTACTTACGCACCTACGTAAATTACCAGCAAATAACGCTTTCACGCATTGCAAACAAAGAGCCACGACACCTTCAGGGTTTTTATCTTGTTGCACTTGATGTAGGAAGAGCCACGGCACCTTTAGGGTTTTTATCTTGTTGCACTTGATGTAGGAAGAGCCACGACACCTTTAGGGTTTATATCTTGTTGCATTTGATGTAAGAAGAGCCACGACACCTTTAGGGTTTATATCTTGTTGCACTTTATGTAAGAAGAGCCAGGACACTTTTAGGGTTGATATCTTGTTGCACTTGATGTAAGAAGAGCCACGACACCTTTAGGGTTTATATCTTGTTGCACTTAATGTAAGGAGAGCCACGACACCTTCAGGGTTTATATCTTGTTGCACTTGGTGTAAGAAGAGCCACGACACCTTTAGGGTTTATACCTTGTTGCGCTTGATGTAAGAAGAGCCACGACACCTTTGGGGTTTATATCTTGTTGCACTTAATGCAAGAAGAGCCACGACACCTTTACGGTTTATATCTTGTTGCACTTGATGTAAGGAGAGCCACGACACCTTTAGGGTTTATATCTTCTTGCACTTAATGTAAGGAGAGCCACGACACCTTTAGGGGTTATATCTTGTTGCACTTGATGTAAGAAGAGCCACGACACCTTTGGGGTTTATATCTTCTTGCACTTAATGTAAGAAGAGCCACGACACCTTTAGGGTTTATATCTTGTTGCACGTGATGTAAGAAGAGCCACGACACCTTTAGGGTTTATATCTTGTCTCACTTGATGTAAGAAGAGCCACGACACCTTTAGGGTTTATATCTTGTTGCACTTAATGTAAGAAGAGCCACGACACCTTTAGGGTTTATATGTTGTTGTACTTGATGTAAGAAGTGCCACGACACCTTTAGGGTTTGTATGTTGTTGCACTTGATGTAAGAAGAGCCACGGCACCTTTGGGGTTTATATCTTGTTGCACTTAATGCAAGAAGAGCCACGACACCTTTACGGTTTATATCTTGTTGCACTTGATGTAAGCAGAGCCACGACACCTTTAGGGTCTTTATCTTCTTGCGCTTAATGTAAGGAGAGCCACGACACCTTTAGGGGTTTATATCTTGTTGCACTTGATGTAAGAAGAGCCACGACACCTTTAGGGTTTATATCTTCTTGCACTTGACGCAAGAAGAGCCACGACACCTTCCGGGTTTCTATCTTGTTGCACTTGATGTAAGAAGAGACGCGACACCTTTAGGGTTTATATGTTGTTGTACTTGATGTAAGAAGTGCCACGACACCTTTAGGGTTTATATCTTGTTGCACTTAATGCAAGAAGAGCCACGACACCTTTACGGTTTATATCTTGTTGCACTTAATGTAAGGAGAGCCACGACACCTTTAGGGTATCTTTAGGGTTTATATCTTGTTGCACTTGATGTAAGAAGAGCCACGAAAACTTTAGGGTTTATATCTTGTTTCACGTGATGCAAGAAGAGACACGACACCTTTGGGGTTTATATCTTGTTGCACTTAATGCAATAAGAGCCACGACACCTTTACGGTTTATATCTTGTTGCACTTGATGTAAGAAGAGCCACGACACCTTCCGGGTTTATATCTTGTTGCACTTGATGTAAGAAGAGCCACGACACCTTTAGGGGTTATATCTTGTTGCACTTGATGTAAAGAAGAGCCACGACACGTTTAGGGTTTATACCTCGTTGCACTTGATGTAAGAAGAGCCACGACACCTTTAGGGTTTATATGTTGTTGTACTTGATGTAAGAAGTGCCACAACACCTTTAGGGTTTGTATGTTGTTGCATTTAATGAAAGAAAAGCCACGACACCTTTAGGGTTTATATCTTGTTGCACTTGATGTAAGAAGAGCCACGACACCTTTAGGGTTTATATCCTGTTGCACTTTATGTAAGAAGAGACGCGACACCTTTAGGGTTTATATCTTGTTGCACTTGATGTAAGAAGAGCCACGACACCTTTACGGTTTATATC